AAGCTGATATAACCTGCGTTTGATTTTATAATTAATTCTTCGAGATATAGGTTAAAAATGAAGTGATTAAATTTTGAAGAATCATTAATTTGTGTAAATTAACACAAATTTAAAAAAATCATTCTAAACCTATTTCTAGGTGTAAAGAAGTGGTTTATATCTTGAATTAAAGCTAAACGCTTCCTTTTTAAGATGATATAACCCGCGCTTGATTTTATAATTAATTCTTCGAGATATAGGTTAAAAAATGAAGTGATTAAATTTTGAGGTATCATTAATTTGTGTAAATTAACATAAACTTTAAAAAATCATTCTGAACCTATTTCTAGGTGTGAAGAAGTGGTTTATATCTTGAATTAAAGCTAAAACATTCCTTTTTAAGATGGTATAACTCGCGTTTTGTTTTATAATCAATTCTTTGAGATATAGGTTAAATAATAAAGTTATTAAATTTTGAGGTATCATTAATTTGTGTAAATTATCATAAACTTTAAAAAATCATTCTGATGTTATTTCTAGGTGTAAAGAAGTGGTTTATATCTTGAATTAAAGCTAAAAGATTCCTTTCTAAGATGATATAACCTGCCTCTAATTTTATAATTATTTTTTTGAGATATACGTTAAGTAATGAGGTGATTAAATTTTCAGGTATCATTAATTTGTATAAATTAACATAAACTTTAAAAAATCATTCTGAACCTATTTTTAGGTGTAAACAAGTGGTTGATATCTTGAATAAAAGCTAAAAGATTACTTTTTAAGACGATATAATATTCTGAACCTATTTCTAGGTGTAAAGAAGTGGTTTATATCTTGAATTAAAGCTAAAAGATTCCTTTTTAAGATGATATAACTCGCATTTTGTTTTATAATCAATTCGTTGAGATATAGGTTAAAAATGAAGTGATTAAATTTTGAGGTAACATTAATTTGTGTAAATTAACGTAAACTTTAAAAAATCATTCTGAACTTATTTCTAGGTGTAAAGAAGTGGTTTATATCTTAAATTAAAGCTAAAAGATTCTTTTTTAAGATGATATAACCCGCGTTTGATTTTATAATTAATTCTTCGAGATATAGATTAAAAAATGAGGTGATTAAATTTGTGTAGATTAACATAAACTTTAAAAAATCGTTCTGGACCTATTTCTAGGTGTAAAAAAGTGGTTTATATCTTGAATTAAAGCTAAAAGATTCCTTTTTAAAATGATATAACCCACGCTTAATTTTATAATTAATTGTTCGAGATATAGGTAAAAAAATGAAGTGATTAAATTTTGAGGTATCATTAATTTGTGTAAATTAACGTAAACTTTAAAAAATCATTCTTAACTTATTTCTAGGTGTAAAGAAGTGGTTTATATCTTGAATTAAAGCTAAAAGATTCCTTTTTAAGATGATATAACCCGCGCTTGATTTTATAATTAATTCTTCGAGATATAGGTTAAAAAATGAAGTGATTAAATTTTGAGGTATCATTAATTTGTGTAAATTAACATAAACTTTAAAAAATCATTCTGAACCTATTTCTAGGTGTGAAGAAGTGGTTTATATCTTGAATTAAAGCTAAAAGATTCCTTTTTAAGATGATATAACCCGCGTTTGATTTTATAATTAATTCTTCGAGATATAGGTTAAAAATGAAGTGACTAAATTTTGAGGTATCATTAATTTATGTAAATTAACATAAATTTTAAAAAATCATTCTGAACCTATTTGTAGGTGTAAAGAAGTGGTTTACATCTTGAATTAAAGCTAAAAGATTCCTTTTTAAGATGATATAACCCGCGTTTGATTTTATAATTAATTCTTCGAGATATAGGCTAAATAATGAAGCGATTAAATTTTGAGATATCATTAATTTGTGTAAATTAACATAAACTTTAAAAAATCATTCTGAACCTATTTCTAGGTGTGAAGAAGTGGTTTATATCTTGAATTAAAGCTAAAAGATTCCTTTTTAAGCTGATATAGCCCACGTTTTGTTTTACAATTAATTCTTCGAGATATAGATTTAAAAATGAAGTGATTAAATTTTGACGTATCATTAATTTATGTAAATTGACATAAAGTTTAAAAAATCATTTTGAACTTATTTCTAGGTGTAAAGAAGTGGTTTATATCTTGAATTAAAGCTAAAACATTCCTTTTTAAGATGATATAACCCGCGTTTGATTTTATAATTAATTCTTCGAGATATAGGCTAAATAATGAAGCGATTAAATTTTGAGATATCATTAATTTGTGTAAATTAACATAAACTTTAAAAAATCATTCTGAACCTATTTCTAGGTGTGAAGAAGTGGTTTATATCTTGAATTAAAGCTAAAAGATTCCTTTTTAAGCTGATATAGCCCACGTTTTGTTTTACAATTAATTCTTCGAGATATAGATTAAAAAATGAAGTGATTAAATTTTGACGTATCATTAATTTATGTAAATTGACATAGTTTAAAAAATCATTTTGAACTTATTTCTAGGTGTAAAGAAGTGGTTTATATCTTGAATTAAAGCTAAAAGATTCCTTTTTAAGATGATATAACCCTCGTTTAATTTTGTAATTAATTCTTCGAGATATACGTTAAATAAGGAAGTGATTAAATTTTGAGGAATCATTAATGTGTATAAATGAACATAAATTTTAAAAAATCATTCTGAACCTATTTGTAGGTGTAAAGAAATGGTTTATATCTTGAATTAAAGCTAAAAGATTCCTTTTTAAGATGATATAACCCACGTTTTGTTTTACAATTAATTCTTCGAGATATAGATTAAAAAATGAAGTGATTAAATTTTGAGGTATCATTAATTTGTGTAAATTGACATAAACTTTAAAAAATCATTCTGAACCTATTTCTAGGTATAAAGAAGTGGTTTATATCTTGAATTAAAGCTAAAAGATTCCTTTTTAAGATGATATAACCCGCGTTTTGTTTTATAATTAATTCTTCGAGATATAGGTTAAAAAATGAAGTGATTAAATTTTGAGGTATCATTAATTTGTGTAAATTAACATAAACTTTAAAAAATTATTCTGAACCTATTTCTAGGTGTAAAGAAGTGGTTTATATCTTGAATTAAAGCTAAAAGATTCCTTTTTAAGATGATATAACCCGCGTTTGATTTTATAATTAATTCTTCGAGATATAGGTTAAAAAATGAAGTGATTAAATTTTGAGGTATCATTAATTTGTGTAAATTAACATAAACTTTAAAAAATCATTCTGAACCTATTTCTAGGTGTAAAGAAGTGGTTTATATCTTGAATTAAAGCTAAAAGATTCCTTTTTAAGATGATATAACCCGCGTTTGATTTTATAATTAATTCTTCGAGATATAGGTTAAAAAATGAAGTGATTAAATTTTGAGGTATCATTAATTTGTGTAAATTAACATAAACTTTAAAAAATCATTCTGAACCTATTTCTAGGTGTAAAGAAGTGGTTTATATCTTGAATTAAAGCTAAAAGATTCCTTTTTAAGATGATATAACCCGCGTTTGATTTTATAATTAATTCTTCGAGATATAGGTTAAAAAATGAAGTGATTAAATTTTGAGGTATCATTAATTTGTGTAAATTAACATAAACTTTAAAAAATCATTCTGAACCTATTTGTAGGTGTAAAGAAGTGGTTTATATCTTGAATTAAAGCTAAAAAAATTCCTTTTTAAGATGGTATAACTCGCGTTTTGTTTTATAATCAATTCTTTGAGATATACGTTAAATAATGAGGTGATTAAATCTTGAGGTATCATTAATTTGTGTAAATTAACATAAACTTTAAAAAATCATTCTGAACCTATTTCTAGGTGTAAAGAAGTGGTTTATATCTTGAATTATAACTAAAAGATTCCTTTTTAAGATGATATAACCCGCGTTTGATTTTATAATTAATTCTTTGAGATATAGGTTAAATAATGAAGTGATTAAAATTTGAGGTATCATTAATTTGTGTAAATTGTCATAAACTTTAAAAAATCATTCTGAAGCTACTTGTAGGTGTAAAGAAGTGGCTTATATCTTGAATTAAAGCTAAAAGATTCCTTTTTAAGATGATATAACTCTCGTTTTGTTTTGTGATTAATCCTTCGAGATATAGGTTAAAGAATGATGCGATTAAATTTTGAGGTATCATTAATTTGTGTAAATTAACATAAACTTTAAAAAATCATTCTGAACCTATTTCTAGGTGTAAAGAAGTGGTTTATATCTTGAATTAAAGCTAAAAGATTCCTTTTTAAGCTGATATAGCCCACGTTTTGTTTTACAATTAATTCTTCGAGATATAGATTAAAAAATGAAGTGATTAAATTTTGACGTATCATTAATTTATGTAAATTGACATAAAGTTTAAAAAATCATTTTGAACTTATTTCTAGGTGTAAAGAAGTGGTTTATATCTTGAATTAAAGCTAAAACATTCCTTTTTAAGATGATATAACCCGTGTTAGATGTTATAATTAATTGTTCGAGATATAGGTTAAAAAATGAAGTGATTAAATTTTGAGGTGTCATTAATTTGTGTAAATTAGCATAAACTTTAAAAAATCATTCTGAACTTATTTCTAGGTGTAAAGGAGTGGTTTATATCTTGAATTAAAGCTAAAAGATTCCTTTTTAAGATGATATAACCCGCGTTTGATTTTATAATTAATTGTTCGAGATATAGGTAAAAAAATGAAGTGATTAAATTTTGAGGTATCATTAATTTGTGTAAATTAACATAAACTTTAAAAAATCATTCTAAACCTAATTCTAGATGTAAAGAAGTGGTTTATATCTTGAATTAAAGCTACAAGATTCCTTTTTAAAATGATATATCCCTCATTGTTTTTTATATCAAATTCTTGGAATTATAAGTTAAAAATTAGAAGTAAAAATTTTATTATTTATTACAAAATTACACACTACAAAAAAAAAAGCTTTATAATCAGTCNAAAATGATATATCCCTCATTGTTTTTTATATCAAATTCTTGGAATTATAAGTTAAAAATTAGAAGTAAAAATTTTATTATTTATTACAAAATTACACACTACAAAAAAAAAAGCTTTATAATCAGTCTTATCTTACACTAATAAAAAGATTAATACTTAAACTTAAAACCTATTCAAGTAATGGTCCCCAAAAATATTTGCTAATTCTAGTTTCATCCTCAGAAATAAAAAAATCTTTCCCATACTTCAAAAATTCGTGTTTATCAACACTCCCATCAGCGTTAGTGTCGATAATTCGAAAGGTAAAAACGGCGTCTTCATCTTCATGCCCAAGACATTCAAAGAACAATTTGAACTCTTTCAAGGTTATCTTTCCAGATTTGTCGCGATCAATCGCCTCGAACAAATATGGCAGAAAAGCGTCAACCTTTTTAATCCTGGAGGGGTCGTTAACAACGTGTTGCATATCTTCTAAGTAACGCTCCACCGTTACGATGTTGTAAGGGGAAATTTCACCCCATTGAGCCTCCCATGTTCGCTATAATCAACGAATAAATATAAAACGATTAAAAAAAAAAATTAAAAACGTACTTTGATAAGACCCCGAAACTCTTTGGCACTCTTCTCACTGATATGACCCAAATTGATAAATTTATCAACGAATAATTGGAAGTCTTCGTACGATATAACGCTGTCTTTGTTAAAATCAAGCAAATTATGAATTGTACGCATTTTTCTTCTCCAAAAATCGCTTAATCCCTATTATTATTATTAATTTAGATTTATTAATTTAATTCGGTTATTAATTCTTACTCTTAATCCCTTTTTTGGGTCGCTTTTAGCATCTTCATCAGAATCTGATGATAAATAATATTCTGGTTTTTTCTGGATCGGTAATTTTTTTGTTGTATAACTCCTTGAAACGTAATTTCTTTCTTGATTTCTTTGAATATGATTAAAACTCGTTAAAGTCAATAATTTCTGGAAAGATCAAATTTTGTGATTTAAATTAATTTTATTATTAATTAATTAAATCTTACTTTATCGCCTTGTTTAACGATGGATTTGATGTTATTAACACCTTGGAGCTTCCTCAAAGTTCCAAAAACTCCACTTAACACAGCTTTGGAAGCCATCACCACACAAAAATTATTTTTTCTTCCTCGAAGTCGAGATAACGAAAATACTCCAACAACAAGAGGTCTTTGGCTCGTTCCATGCGTTTATGTACAGCTGGTTCAAGCACAAGACTCTCCCTCCACTTCTTTTGATATTTACAAACATAAAAATTAAAAGATACAAAGAAATTTTTACCTGAATTTTGTGAAATTTTCTTAGAAGTAATTTTTTTTTGTTTCGTTTTAAAAATGTTTAAAATTCTAAGTAAAAGGTGAAAAGAAATTTACGGTTTTTAAAGGTCTTTACGTGGTAAGCTGGGGTCAATGTCGTTCTAGGCCTTTCTAGTGCGTTGTGCCTCTGTGTACAAGCGCTTAGGCACGTAGCAAGCTTCAATTTCTTTAAAAATTGATGCAAAGCAATTTATGTAAGCAAATTAATATTCATTAATAAGTTGTTTATATGGTAGAAAAAATTTTTCTTTAAACGCGTTTAAAACAAATAAAAACAACAGATTAAATGTTCCTACTTATAATGAGTTTGAAAGATAAAAATGTTACATCATTTAAAAATAATTATTATTCGTTTCGTTATCTTCCTAATTATTGTTTGTATCGAAAAGTTTTTAAATAAAACTTGCAAAGAACTAAAAAATGAACAACTTTTATTAATACAATTTTTTCAAATTACTAATTTTTTGACTTAAAAATAATTATTATTTCTTTCTTTATTTTCATACTTATTGGTTGTATCAAAAAGTTCTTCAAATAAAACTTCTTCAGAATTGTGAAAGGAACAACTTCTATTAATACAATTTTTTGAAATTATTAATTTTTTAATTTCCCTCTGATCACGACTTAAATATGTATAATTACTATTTGTTTCGTTATCTTCATACTTATTGGTTGTACCAAAAAGTATTTGAAACAGTACTTGTTAAGAATTATGCAAGGAACAACTTTTATTAATACAATTTTTTGAAATTTTTTAATCCCCCTAATTTTAATCTTCCTCTTTTTATCGAAACACTGGAGAGTACCCTTTGTGAGAGTATTGTTACATCTCACTCGACAATTATCGTGGGCGATATTAATGTTGATCTTCTTAAGCTTGATTCTCCCTCAACAACACTTCTTCACTCATTTGCGACTTCTATTGGCTTACATCAGTTAGTCACCGAACCCACAAGAATTACACAAAATTCGCAAACTTTACTCGATCCAGTTTTTACAACAAATGATNACCTAGAAGAGGGCTGCAGTAATTGCGTTACCGAAAGTGTCGTCCCCTTCTGCCCTAAAAGATTTTAGACCAATCAGTATCCTGCCAGTGATGTCAAAAATTTTAGAGAGAGATCAACAATCTAGATTTCGTTCGAGTTTCAGCTGCGCAACGGCTTTATTGAACCTTACAGATAAGGTATTTGTTTCTAGAGAGGCCGGGTAAGCCCCACTTTTGTTATCGTTAGACTTCACCAAAGCATTTGATACAATAAATCATAATATACTTGCATCTAAACTTCATTACTTTGGTCTTGGAAATCGGGCTATAATTTTGATCGGATAGGTCTCAGGTTGTGAAGATTAATAGTCAGATGTTGTTCTCTATTTATACATCTGATTTTAACCAAGTTCTTGAGCATTGGCAGATTCATTTGTATGCAGATGATACACAGATTCCGCTGAATTTTAATCCAAATAATTGGGATGATGCCTGCATAAAATTTAACTCAGATGTAGCATTATTTTCTGATGTTGCGAAACGCCATGAGCTTGTGCTTAATCCATCCAAGTCTTCTGTTCTTCTGTTTTGCCGTAGTGTCACAAGGAGACCAACTAAACCTTTGATTTCCGGTCAATTGGTGATGGATGGCGAATCTCTTACTGTTTCTGATGATATAAAAATTTTAGGAGTTACATTGGATCATCAGTTGAGGTTTGAGATGCATGTGGCCAGGTGCCCATCGGGATGTCTTAAATAAGAAATTAAAAATTATGTTGTTTGATAGCTTGGTTCTAAGGAAATTAAATAACTGCGACGTTTATGGTCCAAATTTAACGGGGGCAAGTGGGCGTCGTATCCAAAACCTCCAGAACGGTTATCTAAGGTATATTTACGGAATTCGTAAATATGACCATATTAGTTATAAGTTGGCAGAGACTGGGTGGTTGAACATGAAGAACAGACGTAAACGGCTTGTAACTTGCGTTTATTATAAAATTCTTAAAAGTCAACGGCCTCCTTACTTGCTGCAACGCCTATCTTTCAGAATGTAATATTAATGTAAGATGTATTGAGAGTACCACGCCGCGCCTCGCACCGATCCTTTTCCTACCAGATAGCCAAAACGTACAATGATCTACCAGTGCACTTTATGGGATTGAGCTGTATTTCGTTCAAGAGTAAGTTAAAATCCTCCCTCTTGCTTGAGTCATCATGATTTTTTTTTATATTCTGAGCTACTAATGCATCGCTTTATACTGGCATGGCGTAGTATTTTGTTATATTTTTTTTTTTTTCTTTCATTTTGTTTTATTGGTAAAAAATTTTCATTTTTGTATATATTTTCTATATATTCTGGATTAAGTGGAAGAGCAGTTGGTTAATAACCAAACTGAACTTCGTCCAGAAAATAAGTCTATTTTCTAAGAGTGTATTATTATTTTCTTTCCTTTTTTTGCGACTTATTAATAAAGGCATTATTATTATTATTATTATTATAAATTATTAATTTTGTAATTTCCCACTGAACATGACTTAAAAATAATCACTATTTGTATCGTTAACTTCCTAATTATTGGTTGTATCAAAAAGTTTTTCAAATAAAACTTGTTACGAATTCGGAAAGGAACAACTTTTATTAACACAATTTTTTCAAATAACTAATTTTTTAATTTCCCTCAGAAAATGACTTAAAAATAATTGCTATTTTTTTCGTTATGTTCATACTTAAAGGTTGTATCAAAAAGTTCTTCAAATAAAACTTGTTAAAAATTGTGAAAGGAATAACTTCTATTAATACAATTTTTTGAAATTGTTAATTTTTTAATTTCCCTCTGAACATAACTTAAAAATAATTATTATTTGTTTCGTTATTTTCATACTTATTGGTTGCATCAAAAAGTTCTTCAAATAAAATTTGTTACGAATTGTGAAAGGAACAACTTTTATTAATACAATTTTTTGAAATTATTAACTTTTTAATTTTCCTCTGAACACTGCTTAAAAATAATAACTATTAATTTCGTTATCTTCATACCTATTGTTTGTATCAAAAAGTTCATCAAATAGAACTTGTTAGGAATTGTAAAAGGAACAACTTTTATTAATACAATTTTTTGAAATTATTAATTTTTTTAATTTCCCTCTGAACATGACTTAAAAATAATTACTATTTGTTTCGTTATCTTCATACTTATTGGTTGTACCAAAAAGTTCTTCAAATAAAACTTTTTAAGAATTGTGAAAGGAACAGCTTTTATTAACACAATTTTTTCGAATTATTAATTTTTTAATTTCCCTCTGAACAATACTTAAATATGTATAATTACTATTTGTTTCGTTATCTTCATACTTATTGGTTATATCAAAAAGTTCTTCAAATAAAACGTGTTAAGAATTGTGAAAGAAACAACTTTAATTAATACAATTTTTCGAAATTATTAATTTTTTAATTTCTCTCTGAACATGACTGAAAAATAATTACTATTCGTTTCGCTATCTTTCTAATTATGGGTTGTATCAAAAAGTTTTTTAAATAAAACTTGTTAAGAATTAAAAAAGGAACAACTTTTATTAATACATTTTTTCAAATTAGGTACTAAATTTTTAATTTCCCTCTGAACTTGACAAAAATAATTATTATTCGTTTCGTTATCTTCCTAATTATTGGTTGTATCAAAAAGTTTTTCAAACAAAACTTGTTAAGAATTAAGAAAGAAACAATTTTTATTAATACATTTTTTTCAAATTAGGTACTAATTTTTTAATTTCCCTCTGAACATGACTTAAAAATAATTATTATTCGTTGCGTTATCTTGCTAATTATTGGTTGTATCAAAAAGTTTTTCAAACAAAACTTGTTAAGAATTAAAAAAAGAACAACTTTTATTGATACAATTTTTTCAAATTATCAATTTTTTAATTTCCCTCTGAATAGTACAGCTTTATTGAAATTTCTTTTTTAAAAATTAACCTAAGTCTCAATTCGATTCATTAAACACTTTTAAATCTTAATATATGCCCTCATTTATTCCAGAAATAAAGTTTTAACCGATTTATTCCCCACAAATTAGATAAAACAGAAATCTTCTCATTATCAATCGCATTTGAGGTTAGTTTGACTTAACCTCAAAATATTCGTTTTAATTCTCATAAAACGAAGCATTTATATTAAGTGATTAAAATTTATCTCTATTATTATTATCACTTCTTTTCATAGCGGATAAAATGGGGTCCGAATCTGAATTTGGCCCCAAAAAGCACCCCGTTTGTTTAATTACTCTCGGAATGGCTGGATCTGGGAAAACCTCCTTAGTTCAAAGGCTAAGTAATTCCCAAAAGAAGCCTTACATCGTAAATTTAGACCCAGCTTGTTTACAAGTTCCCTATTTTGCTAATATCGGTGAATTAATTTTGAGGTTATGTTGAATAAAATAATAATAAGTTTATTTTTAGATATAAGAGACACAGTTAAATACAAAGAAGTGATGAAACAATATAAATTAGGCCCAAATGGAGCTATAGTGACCTCGCTTAATTTATTTTCAACGAAATTTCCTGATGTTATCAAATTTATTGAGAAAACCGAACACGAATTATGCGTTTTAGACACTCCAGGCCAAATCGAAGTCTTTACTTGGTCCGTATCGGGTACAATTATAACAGAAACTTTAGCATCGAGTTTTCCAACGGTCATTTTATATGTAATTGACACTGTAAGAAGCACAAACCCTGTTACATTTATGTCAAACATGCTTTATGCTTGTTCAATTCTTTATAAATCTCGTTTACCATTCATTGTTGTTATGAATAAAACAGATGTGGTTAATCATAATTATGCTAAAGACTGGATGAATGATTTTGAGTCATTTCAAGAAGCTTTAGAAGCCGATGAGAACTATATCAGCAATTTAACTCGATCCATGGCGTTAACTTTGGATGAATTCTACCAAAATTTAAGAGTTTGTGGGGTTTCTGCAGCAACTGGAGAAGGTATTGATGAGCTGTATCGATTAATCGAAGAAGCTAGGTTAGAATATGAAAGGTAAATCAAAGTAAAATCACCATTAAGCATAATTTAATTTAAGTTTTTTTGATTTAGTGATTATAGAGTGGAATGGGAGAGAATAAAAAAAGAAAGTGAGAAGAAAAAATCTGCAGTTAAAGAAAATGTTGAGGAAGGGACATCTTCATTATTAACTGATGAACCATTAGGTAGAGAGAGATCAGAGGTGTCTATAAGACCCTCTGGGAATGGGGAAGAGAGCAGTGAAGACTCAGAAGGGGAAGAAATCCATCCCTTTGAGATGGAGGAGGAGGCTGAAAACTTTAGGAAGGTGCTTGAAAAGCAACGAGAGATGCAGATTAAAAGGGCTAAAGAAGCTGAAACTAAAAAGAAAGGGGGTTAAACAAATTTAAAAAAAAAATCATCAAAAAAAAAAAAAATCAAAAAATAATCCTCAAATTTCAATTACTCATTCCTTCTTCATTTTTAGGAGTTAAGATGCGATTTATACATCAAATTAAACCTAAAAGTGTACATTTTAATATTAATAAAGAATATTTGAGTTTAAAAAATAAAATTTTGAGAAAATACAAAAATCGAAATTGACGTTCATTTAACCTAACTTTTAAAGGAAGAAATTTCAATTAAACATATTTGCTTAATTTTTGCGAGTTAAGATGAGATTTATAAATCAAATTGTAGCTTAAAGTGTACATTTTAATATTAATAAGGAATATTTAAGTTTAAAAAAGAAATTTTTGAGAAATTGCAAAAATCGAAATTGACGTTGATTTGAACCAACTTTTAAAGGAAGAAATTTCAATTAAACATCTTTGCTTAATTTTTGCGAGTTAAGATGAGATTTCTACATCAAATTGAAGCTAAAAGTGTACATTTTGATATTAATAAAGAATATTTAAGTTTTAAAAAGAAATTTTTGAGAAATTGCAAAAATCGAAATTGACGTTGATTTAACCCAAGTTTTAAAGGAAGAAATTTCAATTAAACATCTTTGCTTCATTTTTGCGAGTTAAGATGAGATTTATACATCAAATTGTAGCTAAAACTGTACATTTTAAAATTAACAAAGAATATTTGAGTTAAAAAAACGAAATTTTTGATAAATTGCAAAAATCGAAATTGACGTTTATTTAACCCAACTTTTAAAGGAAGATATTTCAATTAATCATCTTTGCTTAATTTTTGCGCGCACAGATGAGATTTATACATCAAATTGAAGCTAAAAGTGTACATTTTAATATTAATAAAGAATATTTTGGTATAAAAAACGAAATTTTTGAAAAATTGCAAAAATCGAAATTGACGTTGATTTAACCCATCTTTTAAAGGAAGAAATTTCAATTAATCATCTTTGCTTAATTTTTGCGAGTTAAGATGAAATTTATACATCAAATTAAACCTAAAAGTATACATTTTAAGAACAATAAAGAATATTTGAGTTTAAAAAACCAAATTTTTGAGAAATTGCGAAAATCGAAATTGACGTTGATTTAACCCAACTTTTAAAGGAAGTAATTTCAATTAATCATCTTTACTTAGTTTTTGCGAGTTAAAATAAGATTTATACATCAAATTAAACGTAAAAGTATACATTTTAAGAACAATAAAGAATATTTGAGTTTAAAAAACCAAATTTTTGAGAAATTGGAAAAATTGAAATTGACGTTGATTTAACCCAACTTTTAAAGGAAGAAATTTCAATTAAACATCTTTGCTTAATTTTTGCGAGTTAAGATGAGATTTATACATCAAATTCTAGCTTAAAGTGTACATTTTAATATTAAGAAAGAATATTTGAGTTTTAAAAAGAAATTTTTGAGAAATTGCAAAAATCGAAATTGACGATGATTTAACCCAACTTTTAAAGGAAGAAATTTCAATTAATCATCTTTGCTTAATCTTTGCCAGTTAAGATGAGATTTATACACCAAATTGAAGCTAAAAGTGTACATTTTAATATTAATAAAGAATATTAGAGTTTTAAAAAGTAATTTTTGAGAAATTGGAAAAATTGAAATTGACGTTGATTTAACCCAACTTTTAAAGGAACAAATTTCAATTAATCATCTTTGCTTAATCTTTACTAGTTTAGATGAGATTTATGCATCAAATTGAAGCGAAAAGTGTACATTTTGATATTAATAAAGAAAATTTGAATTTAAGCAAGAAATTTTTGAGAAATTGCAAAAATCGAAATTGACATTGATTAAACCCAACTTTTAAAGAAAGAAATTTCAATTAATCATTTTTGCTTAATCTTATTGAATTATGATAAGATTTATACACCAAATTGAAGCTAAAAGTGTACATTTTGATATTAATAAAGAATATTTGAGTTTAAAAAAGAAATTTTTGAAAAATTGCTAAAGTTGAAATTGACGTTGATTTAACCCAACTTTTACAGGAAGAAATTCAATTAAGCATCCTTGCTTAATTTTTGCGAGTTAAGATGAGATTTATACATCAAATTGAAGCTAAAAGTGTACATTTTAATATTAACAAAGAATATTTGAGTTTAAAAAAGAAATTTTTGAGAAATTGCAAAAATCGAAATTGACGTTGATTTAACACAACTTTTAAAGGAAGATATTTCAATTAATCATTTTTGCTTAATCTTATTGAATTATGATAAGATTTATACACCAAATTGAAGCTAAAAGTGTACATTTTAATATTAATAAAGAATATTTTAATATAAAAAACGAAATTTTTGAAAAATTGCAAAAATCGAAATTGACGTTGATTTAACCCAACTTTTAAAGGAAGATATTTCAATTAAACATCTTTGCTCAATTTATGCGAGTTAAGATGAGATTTATATATCAAATTGAAGCTAAAAGTGTAAATTTTTATATTAATAAAGAATATTTGAGTTTAAAAACGAAATTTTTGAGAAATTGCAAAAATCGAAATTGACGTTGATTTAACCCAACTTTTAAAGGAAGAGATTTCAATTAAACATCTTTGCTTAATTTTTGCGAGTTAAGATGAGATTTATACATCAAATTGTAGCTAAAAGTATACATTTTAAGATTAATAAAGAATATTTGAGTTTAAAAAAGAAATTTTTGAGAAACTGCAAAAATCGGAATTGACGTTGATTTAACCCAACTTTTAAAGGAAGATATTTCAATTAATCATATTTGCTTAACTTTTGCGAGTTAAGATGAGATTTATACATCAAATTGAAGCTAAAAGTGTACATTTTGATATTAATAAAGAAAATTTGAGTTTAAAAAAGAAATTTTTGAGAAATTGCAAAAATCGAAATTGACGTTGATTTACCCAACTTTTAAAGAAAGATATTTCAATTAATCATCTTTGCTCAATTTTTGCGAGTTAAGATGAGATTTATACATCAAATTGAAGCTAAAAGTGTACATTTTAATATTAATAAAGAATATTTGAGTTTAAAAAAGAAATTTTTGAAAAATTACAAAAGTCGAAATTGACGTTGATTTAATCCAACTTTTAAAGGAAGAAATTCAATTAAACATCCTTGCTTAATTTTTGCGAGTTAAAATGAAATTTATACATCAAATTGAAGCTAAAAGTATACATTTTAAGGTTAATAAAGAATATTAAAGTTTAAAAAAGAAATTTTTGAGTAATTGCAAAAATCGAAATTGCCGTGGATTTGACCCATCTTTTAAAGGAAGAAATTTCAATTAATCATCTTTGCTTAATCTTTGCGAGTCAAGATGAGATTTATACATCAAATTGAAGCTAAAAGTGTACATTTTAATATTAATAAAGAATATTAGAGTTTAAAAAAGAAATTTTTGAGAAATTGCAAAAATCGAAATTGACGTTGATTTAACCCAACTTTTAAAGGAACAAATTTCAATTAATCATCTTTGCTCAATTTTTGCGAGTTAAGATGCGATTTATACATCAAATTGAAGCTAAAAGTGTACATTTTAATATTAATAAAGAATATTTGAGTTTAAAAAAGAAATTTTTGAGAAATTGCAAAAATCGAAATTGACGTTGATTTAACCCAACTTTTAAAGGAAAATATTTCAATTAATCATCTTTGCTCAATTTCTGCGAGTTAAGATGAGATTTATACATCAAATTGAAGCTAAAAGTGTGCATTTTAATATTAATAAAAAAAATTTGAGTTTAAAAAAGAAATTTTTGAGAAATTGCATAAATCGAAATTGACGTTGATTTAACCCAACTTTTAAAGGAAGTAATTTCAATTAAACATCTTTGCTTAATTTTTGCGAGTTAAGATGAGATTTATACATCAAATTGAAGCTAAAAGTATACATTTTAATATTAACAAAGAATATTAAAGTTAAAAAAAGAAATTTTTGAGAAATTTGAAAAATTGAAATTGACGTTGATTTAACCCAACTTTTAAAGGAAGAAATTTCAATTAAACATCTTTTCTTAATTTTTGCGAGTTAAGATCAGATTTATACATCAAATTGAAGCTAAAAGTATACATTTTAAGATTAATAAAGAATATTAAAGTTTAAAAAAGAAATTTTTGAGAAATTGCAAAAATCGAAATTGACGTGGATTTAACCCAACTTTTAAAGGAAGAAATTTCAATTAAACATCTTTGCTTAATTTTTGCGAGTTAAGATGAGATTTATACATCAAATTGAAGCTAAAAGTGTACATTTTAATATTAATAAAGAATATTTGAGTTTAAAAAAGAAATTTTTGAGAAATTGCAAAAATCGAAATTGACGTTGATTTAACCCAACTTTTAAAGGAAGAAATTTCAATTAATCATCTTTGCTTAATTTTTGCGAGTTAAGATGAGATTTATACATCAAATTGAAGCTAAAAGTGTACATTTTAAGATTAATAAAGAATATTAAAGTTTAAAAAAGAAATTTTTGAGAAATTGCAAAAATCGAAATTGACGTGGATTTAACCCAACTTTTAAAGGAAGAAATTTCAATTAAACATCTTTGCTTAATTTTTGCGAGTTAAGATGAGATTTATACATCAAATTGAAGCTAAAAGTGTACATTTTAATATTAATAAAGGATATTAAAGTTTAAAAAAGAAATTTTTGAGAAATTGCGAAAATCGAAATTGACATTGATTTAACCCAGCTTTTAAAGGAAGAAATTTCAATTAATCATCTTTGCTTAGTTTTTGCGAGTTAAAATAAGATTTATACATCAAATTAAACCTAAAAGTATACATTTTAATATTAATAAAGAATATTTGAGGTTAAAAAACGAAATTGTTGAGAAATTGCAAAAATCGAAATTGACGTTGATTTAACCCAACTTTTAAAGGAAGAAATTTCAATTAATCATTTTTGCTTAATCTTATTGAATTATGATAAGATTTATACACCAAATTGAAGCTAAAAGTGTACATTTTGATATTAATAAAGAATATTTGAGTTAAAAAAGAAATTTTTGAGAAATTGCAAAAATCGAAATTGACGTTGATTTAACCCAACTTTTAAAGGAAGAAATTCAATTAAACATCCTTGCTTAATTTTTGCGAGTTAAAATGAAATTTATACATCAAATTGAAGCTAAACGTATACATTTTAAGGTTGATAAAGAATATTAAAGTTTAAAAAAGAAATTTTTGAGAAATTGCAAAAATCGAAATTGACGTGGATTTGACCCAACTTTTAAAGGAAGAAATTTTAATTAAACATCTTTGCTTAATTTTTGCGAGTTAAGATGAGATTTATACATCAAATTGAAGCTAAAAGTGTACATTTTAATATTAGTAAAGAATATTTAAGTTTAAAAAAGAAATTTTGGAGAAATTGCAAAAATCGAAATTGACGTTGATTTAACCCAACTTTTAAAGGAAGAAATTTCAATTGAACACCTTTGCTTAATTTTTGCGAGTTAAGATAAGATTTATACATCAAATTGAAGCTAAAAGTGTACATTTTAATATTAATAAAGAACATTAGAGTTTGAAAAAGAAATTTTTGAGAATTTGGAAATATGGAAATTGACGTTGATTTAACCCAACTTTTAAAGGAAGAAACTTCAATTAAACATCTTTGCTTTATTTTTGCGAGTTAAGATGAGATTTATACATCAAGTTGTAGCTAAAAGTGTACATTTTAATATTAATAAGGAATATTTAAGTTTAAAAAAGAAATTTTTGAGAAATTGCAAAATCGAAATTGACGTTGATTTAAACCAACTTTTAAAGGAAGAAATTTCAATTAATCATCTTTGCTTAATTTTTGCGAGTTAAGATGAGATTTATACATCAAATTGAAGCTAAAAGTGTACATTTTAATATTAATAAAGAATATTTGAGTTTAAAAAAGAAATTTTTGAGAAATTACAAAAGTCGAAATTGACGTTGATTTAACCCAACTTTTAAAGGAAGAAATTCAATTAAACATCCTTGCTTAATTTTTGCGAGTTAAAATGAAATTTATACATCAAATTGAAGCTAAACGTATACATTTTAAGGTTGATAAAGAATATTAAAGTTTAAAAAAGAAATTTTTGAGAAATTGCAAAAATCGAAATTGACGTGGATTTGACCCAACTTTTAAAGGAAGAAATTTTAATTAAACATCTTTGCTTAATTTTTGCGAGTTAAGATGAGATTTATACATCAAATTGAAGCTAAAAGTGTACATTATAATATTAATAAAGAATATTTGAGTTTTAAAAAGAAATTTTTGAGAAATTGGGAAAATCGAAATTGACGTTGATTTAACCCAACTTTTAAAGGAAGAAATTTCAATTAATCATATTTGCTTAATTTTTGCGAATTAAGATGAGATTTATACACCAAATTGAAGCTAAAAGTGTACATTTTAATATTAATAAAGAATATTTGAGTTTAAAAAAGAAATTTTTGAGAAATTGCAAAAATCGAAATTGACGTTGATTTAACCCAACTTTTAAAGGAAGAAATTTCAATTAATCATCTTTGCTTAATTTTTGCGAGTTAAGATGAGATTTATACATCAAATTGAAGCTAAAAGTGTGCATTTTAATATTAATAAAGCATATTTGAGTTTTAAAAAGAAATTTTTGAGAAATTGCAAAAATCGAAATTGACGTTTATTTAACCCAACTTTTAAAGGAAGAAATTTCAATTAATCATCTTTGTTTAATCTTTGCGAGTCAAGATAAGATTTATACATCAAATTGAAGCTAAGGGTGTATATTTTAATATTTATAAAGAATATTCGAGTTTAAAAAAGAAATTTTTTAGAAATTGCAAAAATCGAAATTGACATTGATTTAACCCAACTTTTAAAGGAAGAAATTTCAATTTATCATCTTTGCTTAGTTGTTGCGAGTTAAAATGAAATTTATACATCAAATTGAAGCTAAAAGTATGCATTTTAACATTAATAAAGAATATTTGAGTTTAAAGAAGAAAATTCTGAGAAATTGCAAAAATCGAAATTGACGTTGATTTAACCCAACTTTTAAAGGAAGAAATTTCAATTAATCATCTTTGCTTAGTTTTTGCGAGTTAAGATGAGATTTATACATCAAATTGAAGCTAAAAGTGTACATTTTAATATTAATAAAGAATATTAGAGTTTAAAAAAGAAATTTTTGAGAAATTGCAAAAATCGAAATTGACGTTGATTTAAGCTAACTTTTAAAGGAAGAAATTTTAATTAAACATCTTTGCTTAATGTTTGCGAGTTAAGATGAGATTTATACATCAAATTGAAGCTAAAAGTGTACATTTTAATATTAATAAAGAATATTAAGGTTTAAAAAAGGAATTTTTGAGAAATTTCAAAAATCGAAATTGACGTTGATTTAACCCAACTTTTAATAGAAGAAATTTCAAATAAAATTTTTTCTTAATTGTTGCGAGTTAAGATGAGATTTATACATTGAATTGAAGCTAAAGATGTACATTTTGATATTAATAAAGATTATTTGAGTTTTAAAAAGAAATTTTTGAGAAATTGCAAAAATCGAAATTGACGTTGATTTAACCCAACTTTTAAAGGAAGAAATTTCAATTAATCATCTTTGCTTAGTTTTTGCGAGATAAAATGAAATTTATACATCAAATTGAAGCTAAAAGTATGCATTTTAACACTAATAAAGAATATTTGAGTTTAAAGAAGAAAATTGTGAGAAATTGGAAAAATTGAAATTGACGTTGATTTAACCCAACTTTTAAAGGAAGAAATTTCAATTAATCATATTTGCTTAATTTTTGCGAATTAAGATGAGATTTATACATCAAATTGAAGCTAAAAGTGTACATTTTAATATTAATAAAGAATATTTGAGTTTAAAGGAACAAATTTTTGAAAAATTGCAAAAATCGAAATTGACGTTGATTTAACCCAACTTTTAAAGGAAGAAATTTTTAATCATTTTTGCTTAATCTTATTGAATTATGATAAGATTTATACACCAAATTGAAGCTAAAAGTGTACATTTTGATATTAATAAAGAATATTTCAGTTTAAAAAAGGAAATTTTTGAAAAATTGTAATTGACGTTGTTTTAACCCAACTTTTAAAGCAAAAAATTTCAATTAAACATTTTTGCGAATTAAGATGAAATTTATACATCAAATTGACGCTAAAAGTGCACATTTTAATATTAATAAAGAATATTTGGATTTAACAAAGAAATTTTTGATAAAAGTTGTTATTTGTGTACCAAATCGAAGATAAAAATTATCTAACACGGATTAGTTTTATTTGTTCAAATTTATTTAAGTTGCACAATTTCTACATATTTAATTATTACAACAACGGAGTGAATTAAACACGAAAAAATACAACAACAAATTACAAATACAGCTTTATATTATATTAAGTATACAAATGGAATCTTAAGGCAACAGGACACCCGAAAAGAGCAACCAAACTTTATTTTATTAAGTTACCCATCCAGGAAATTTAACAAACTCCCAAAAAAAGATATTTTTAATATACATCATAATAAGAATAGAAAAGAAAATACATAATATTTAATTTTAAGTTTAATCATTAAAGCCAAAAGTAAAATAGATTGTGAAATATTTTTAGGCAATTCTTTTTTTAATTTTAACGTTTTTTACTTCTCTATTTGAACTCGACAATCATCTGTTTGAGTTTATCATAATTAGCCCCGCTAAATTGTTGCACAACTTTCTTGCTTTTGATAAAAATAAAAGTGGGCATCGACGTGATGTTATATTCCATCGCGATATCCTCACATTCATCAACGTCCACTTTCAATACGAGAATATTGCTGTTCTCCTTCGCTAATTCCTCCAATTTTGGTGCAATCATTTTGCACGGACCGCACCATGTCGCGAAGAAATCAACGACTACCAAAGAATCTCCAGCGTCAGTTAATTTTGTTGAAAAATCGTCCTAAAAAAACAATTTATTAAAAAAAAAATCCTTTCACATAACCTTCAAATACAAATTAATGACAAATGACAGCCATCACCTAACCACACCTCGAAACACATTTTTTTCAAATTTTTTAATTCATTACCAATTTATTAAGATAAATAAGATAATAACCCTACCTTGTCTTTAATGTGAACAGCCATTATATTGGTGTTTTAACGTTGAAATTCGATAGGATTATTCAAAAATTACGCGTGAATAACACGAAATCGTTTTGATGAATGAATGCAAATGGCGTCCGCGTCAAGCCGGTAATGAAACTGTCATTTTTATCCAATCGATTGGATCTTTTCACCCCCACCAAAACTAAAACCCGGTTTTTACCGCTTTGAGGTCATTTCCAGATATATTAAATACCCCCTCTTTATCATACTAAACGGGTTAAAATGAGACGCAAAAAAGAATTGATTTGTATTTCCTTGAAATTCAGGAAAATTACGAGTTAATAATGAATCCTAATAGATGGAGCTGTTGTAGTTTGTGCTAGTTCTGTCATTTTTATACTTAGACAATGATTAATTATGGATGACTCATTAATAATTAATGATCGCGTTTAATTTTCTTAAAAGAAATTGTTAGCTTCAAATAGATTTCCTAGGAGAATAATTTTGGGTTTTGTAATCACTTTTGAGGGATTGCATCATTTGTGGCGCTTAAGATGGGATTAATTAAGCGATAAGATGTTGATAAAGCATAAAAATAAACTATGGCTTATCATGATTGATTAAAAAACTTCGTTATGAAATAAAAATGAAGAAAATTAATTTGGGAATTGTGTTTGTAGATGAAGAGAATGAGAAATGTATAAAAAAACTTATTTAACTGAATTAATTTCGTTTAGATGACGCATATTATAGTGCAGTCAATAGGGTTGCCTAACTTGTGTTATATTTTTCAATAAATTATAGTAACCTTAATTATGGAAAATAAGAAATGAATTTTTAGAACGATGTATAATTATGTATGGGTTGAATTATGAAAATGTGGAGGAAAAAGATATTGAGTTAAAACGAAGATTTTCGCATAAAATAAGAATGTCGAAAAAGGTGAAGATTTAAAAATTCGTGGAAGTGTTGCTTTTGGAAATAAAGAAATGAGATTTATTGCAAATTAAAGCTTAAAGTGCTCGCTTTAAAATGATGTATAATAATGTATCGGTTGAATTATTAAAATGTTGAGTTAAAACTAAGATTTTCGCTTAAAATAAAAATGTCGAAAAAGGTGAAAATTTAAAAATTCGTGGAAGAGTTGATTATGGAAATAAAGAAATGATACTTATCGCAAATTAAAGCTTAAAGTCTTCTCTTTAAAATGATGTATAATAATGTATGGGTTAAATTATGAAAATGTGGAGAAAATAAATGTTGAGTTAAAACTAAGATTTTCGCTTAACATAAGAATGTCGAAAAAGGTGAAAATTTAAAAATTCGTGGAAGCGTTGATTATGGAAACTAAGAAATGATACTTATCGCAAATTAAAGCTTAAAGTCTTCTCTTTAAAATGATGTATAATAATGTATGGGTTAAATCATGAAAGTGTGGGGAAAATAAATGTTTAGTGAAAACTAAGATTTTCGCTTAACATAAGAATGTCGAAAAAGGTGAAAATTTAAAAATTCGTGGAAGCGTTGATTATAAAAACTAAGAAATGAGTTTCGTGGCAAATTAAAGCTTAAAGTCTTCTCTTTAAAATGATGTATAATAATGTATGGATTAAATTATGAAAATGTGGAGAAAAAAAATGTTGAGTTAAAACTAATATTTTCGCTTAAAATAAAAATGTCGAAAAAGGTGAAAATTTAAAAAATCATGGAAGCGTTGATTATGGAAAGTAAGAAATGAGATTTATCGCAAATTAAAGCTTAAAGTCTTCTCTTTGAAATGATGTATAGTAATGTATGGGTTAAATTATGAAAATGTGGAGAAAAAAAGTGTTGAGTTAAAACTAAAATTTTCGCTCAAAATAAGAATGTCGAAAAAAGTGAAAATTTAAAAATTCGTGGAAGCGTTGATTATGGAAACTAAGAAATGAGATTTATTGCAAATTAAAGCTTAAAGTCTTCTCTTTAAAATGATGTATAATAATGTATGGGTTAAATTATGAAAATGTGGAGAAAATAAATGTTGAGTTAAAACTAAGATTTTCGCTTAAAATAAAAATGCCGAAAAAGGTGAATATTAAAAAATTCGTGGAAGCGTAGATTATGGAAACTAAGAAATGAGATTTATCGCAAATTAAAGCTTAAAGTCTTCTCTTTAAAATGGTGTATTATAATGTATGTGTTAAATTATGAAAATGTAGAGAAAATAAATGTTTAGTTAAAATTAAGATTTTCGCTTAAAATAAGAATGTCAAAAAGGTGAAAATTTAAAAATTCGTGGAAGCGTTGATTATGGAAATAAAGAAATGAGATTTATCGCAAATTAAAGCTTAAAGTCTTCTGTTTAAAATGATGTATAATAATGTATCGGTTGAATTATGAAAATGTGGAAAAAAAAGTGTTGAGTTAAAACTAAGATTTTCGCTTAAAATAAAAATGTCGAAAAAGGTGAAAATTAAAAAATTCGTGGAAGCGTAGATTATGGAAACTAAGAAATGAGTTTTATTGCAAATTAAAGCTTAATGTCTTCTCTTTAAAATGATGTATTATAATATAATGTATGGGTTGCATAATGAAAATGTGGAGAAAGAAAATATTGAGTTACAACTAAGATTTTCGCTTAAAATAAGAATGCCGAAAAAAGTGAAAATTTAAAAATTTTTGTGAGCGTTGATTATGGAAATAAAGAAGTGATACTTATCGCAAATTAAAGCTTAAAGTCTTCTCTTTAAAATGATGTATAATAATGTATGGGTTGAATTATGAAAATGTGGAGAAAAAAATGTTAAGTTAAAGCTAAGATTTTCGCTTGAAATAAAAATGTCGAAAAAGGTGAAAATTAAAAAAAATCATGGAAGCGTAGATTATGGAAACTAAGAAATGAGTTTTATTGCAAATTAAAGCTTAAAATTTGCTCTTTAAAACGATGTATAGTAATAATAATAATAATGACTTTATTGCCCATACAAATACAAATATATAAAAGATAATATAATTACAATTAAAACATAAAGATAACTACAAAAGAAAAAAAATGGGCAAAAGGCGAAGTTCAGATCATCCATCCTGAGATGGATGATCTGTTCTTCCACTTGACCTGAGCTTCACTTATCAAAATAAAATTTTATGAGAATTTAAACAAAATAATTCCACCCGCTATACGTGCTCTACACCCTGACTTCGCAATAGATGGTTTCGATAATGACTTCTAAAAGTAACTAAGCTGCAATGGGGACCAACCGGGAGACCGTTCCATATCTTTGATATCTAATATGAGAAAGATCTTTCATACAGAGTAGTTCTATGTATCGGAGGTGCAATCAAATTTTTATTTCGCAAATTGACAGTATGAGCATCTCTACGGAATTCGATCCTACTATATAAATAAAATGGTTTCTTAGATTCGATAATTCTTCGACAGAACATAGCGTATCTCAATTTTCGACGATACATGATACATGATTGCGCCTTCGCAAACCACACACGCGCATTTTGGACTCTTTGTATGAGAACTGATCTGCTACCGTACAGTTTCTTTAGTTTAGCAAAAGCTATTCTAATGCATTTTCCTACATGCTGCTCAAATCAGAATCTAATATAAGTCCCAAGTCGCGAGCATTATCACATAACTCAATTGGCCTATTTCCCATAACCAAATTAAGTTCATTTTTAAGTTGCGTTGGGACTTGTGATCTTGCAAAGATAATAGCAACGGACTTGGTGGGATTTACAATTAAATAGTGATTCCTTGAGAATTTATCCAATGACTTCAGATCGTCATTAATTCTATTAGTTTCTTGTAGAGCATCATGAAGTGCAAAGGAGTGATATATCATCAGCATATTTATGTATGTTCATAATGTAGGGGTTAAATTATGAAAATGTGGAGAAAAAAAATTTAATTTAACATTTTCACTTAAGATAATTCAATTCCTATGATTAGATTTATTGTTAGGTCTTAAATTTTGAAGATATTAATTTTTATTATTAAAATAATTCATTTAAAACAAATCTTATTCAAAAAACTCTTTGATTTAACACAAATTAAAAATAAAAACATATTAATTTAAAAAAAAATCGTTTTAGAATTTTTATTAATACAAAAACCACGAAATGATAAATAACTTTTACATTTAATTTTTTTTAAACAACTCTTCTCACTTCAAAGAACCTCTTCAAATAATAAATTTGCCCCACAGTCATCCCCGCGATAATCAAAGCCTCAAAAAACGACCAAAGCACAACTCGAGAGTTCGTACTTTCATTAATAGCTCGATGAATCCGATCCCGAACTTGCATATATTCCTGTTCGTGTTTAACGCTAGCTAAAGACCCACTCAACTCTCGAATCATATCCTCTAATTTACTTGCAGATTCCCCGTCGGCTGATTTCTCCTCTTTGGGAGCTTCCCCAACCAACATATTAAACATAACCACCTTAGGGGTCATCGTAGACATCTTATTTGAGAAGCAATACGTGTAAACGCCAGGTTTGTCAGCCGAAAAGATGTATTTTCCTGAAGATTCCCTTTCGCCTTGGGTGATAACTTTGTTGTCTGGGCCAACGATGCGAAAATCGATGTCTAAGAACCCTCCTTCGGCGATTTCGAACGTTAAACCTAAACGAATAAGGTTAAATTTAAAGATATTAAATAATATTTTGTGGATTACTCATTTTTGTGCCGGCTTCAACTCGGTCGAAAAAACATTCTTCTGCGTGTGCATCTACGGTTATAAAGTACGAATAAACTGGCGTTAACGTTGAAATTATTAAAAGGGTGAGATAAATTGAGATTTTGGGCATTTTGTTGGTAAATTAACGGCCACGTAACCTTCTTAACCCTACTTTCTTTGACGTTTATAAACACGTAGAAAATTGCGCCATCTATAATTTCTTAAAAAAAAAAATTTAGATCGGTAATAAAGATTGCATTAATTTAAAATTTTATTTATTGTAATAATATTTATTATTAATAACATTTATAATCATTCTAGTAACTAACGTCATTTCAACTAAGTTTATAATAATCAGTGAGAAATAAACAAGCTTACGATGAAATATCAATATAAAGCGGATTTTTTAAGTTATATTTTTGAATTTATATCTCAAGAACAAATTGTGATATCAAAGAACGGTTTGTTACGTTAGATTTGTTGCTTAATTCTGTATATGTAAACAAAATTTAGTTTCTCCATTTTTAATAATTAGGGAGAAATAAATTTTTTAAAATAAGCTTACAACGAAACGTCAATTTGAGGCGAATTTTTAAGTTATCTTTATGAATCTATTTCTCAAGAACTAATTGAGATATCAAAGAACGGTTTTGTACATTAGATTAGCTGATTAATTCTGAATAAGTCAGCAAAGTTTAGTTTCTCCATCTTTAGTAATTACGGAGAAATAAATTTTTTAAAATAAGCTTACAACGAAACGTCAATTTGAGGCGATTTTTTAGGTTATCTTTATGAATCTATATCTCAAAAACTATTTGAGAAATCAAAGAGCGGTTTTCTTCGTTGAATTTGCTGATTAATTCCGAATATGTCAACAAAATTTAGTTTCTCCACCTTTAATAATTAGGGAGAAATACATTTTTTAAAATAAGCTTGCAACGAAACGTCAATTTGAAGCGGATTTTTTAGGTTATCTTTATGAATCTATTTCTCAAGAACTAATCGAGATATCAAAGAGCGGTCTTCTGCGTTAGATTTGCTGATTAATTCTGAATAAGCCAGCAAAGTTTAAATTCTATATCTTTAATAATTAGGGAGAAATAAACTTTTTAAAATAAGCTTACAACGAAACGTCAATTTGAAGCGGATTTTTTAAGTTATCTTTATGAATCTATTTCTCAAGAACTAATCGAGATATCAAAGAGCGGTTTTCTGTTAGATTTGCTGATTAATTCTGAATAAGTCAACAAGATTTAGTTTATCCATCTTTAATAATTAGTGAAAAATAAATTTTTTAAAATAAGCTTATAACGAAACGTCAATTTGAGGCGAATTTTTTAGGTTATCTTTATGAATCTATATCTCAAAAACTATTTGAGAAATCAAAGAGAGGTTTTCTGGGTTAGATTTGCTGATTAATTCTGAATAAGTCAGCAAAGTTTAGTTTCTCCATCTTTATTAATTAGGGAGAAATAAATTTTTTAAAATAAGCTTGCAACGAAACGTCAATTTGAAGCGGATTTTTTAGGTTATCTTTATGAATCTATTTCTCAAGAACTAATCGAGATATCAAAGAGCGGTTTTCTGCGTTAGATTTGCTGATTAATTCTGAATAAGTCAGCAAAGTTTAATTTCTCCATCTTTAATAATTTGGGAGAAATAAATTTTTTAAAATAAGCTTACAACGAAACGTCAATTTGAAGCGGATTTTTTAGGTTATATTTATGACTTAATTTCTCAAGAACGAATCGAGATATCAAAGAGCGGTTTTCTGCGTTAGATTTGCTGATTAATTCTGAATAAGTCAACAAGATTTAGTTTATCCATCTTTAATAATTAGTGAAAAATAAATTTTTTAAAATAAGCTTATAACGAAACGTCAATTTGAGGCGAATTTTTTAGGTTATCTTTATGAATCTATATCTCAAAAACTATTTGAGAAATCAAAGAGCGGTTTTCTGGGTTAGATTTGCTGATTAATTCTGAATAAGTCAGCAAAGTTTAGTTTCTCCATCTTTATTAATTAGGGAGAAATAAATTTTTTAAAATAAGCTTACAACGAAACATCAATTTGAAGCGGATTTTTTAGGTTATATTTATAACTTAATTTCTCAAGAACAAATCGAGATATCAAAGAGCGGTTTTTTGCGTTAGATTTGCTGATTAATTCTGAATATATCAACAAAATTTAGTATTTTCATCTTTAATATCTCAGATAACGTTCATTCAAGGAAGCTGTACATTGGCACGATTTTCAAATGCTATCAAATAGATTGTCATTTGGTGCATCAGAGTATCTTATGTATACAGGCTTGTCAAAAATTGAATTACCGTTTCTCCATATTCAATGCAAGAAAGTCGAAAATTTTAAATAGAACGCCCTATATTTTATTAGCCTATCAGATAGGGAATTTAATACTGCGTTGAAAGAAATGGAAATAAATAAATTATCAAGAACATGCACAGACCTTCTATTTACTTCTACAACACTTTAAATTAGGCGAAAGTCTTTCATTTCGAACGATTTAACCGTAATCAATAATTGATTAAACCGTTTCCACGATTCGCAAAAAGAACTATATTAGGAAATCAATAATTGAAGATAATTGAATGACATTGTGCTCTACATAGTTGTGGCGATCAAATCACTCAAGTTACTCCCCTGATCGTCTAAAACATTATGTAATACGTATACATACATATTCGTACAGGGTCCCACGTAAGCAGCGAAGTACATAAATGCATTAAAGAGCTGAGATAAGCAGTTCTTCCTTAGACAAAAGTTGTAGCAAATTTACCACACTATAAACGGAAAATATTTTTATACATACAAAGTGTTCCATAACGACGTACCGAAATAAATCAGTTATTTTAATAGGAATGATATAGTTTTTATTGCGTGTTCTGATTCTACACACAAAAATATGTTGACTTTGATAAGATATGTTGATACCTAATAGTTTTAGTTTTTGAGTTATTTTAATTAGAAACTTATTCTAGCAATTAACACTGTGTCCTTTAAATTTGAATTTATATAACATAAATTTTATGTATGAAATCATATCTCAAGAGCGAGTTGAGATAGTAAAATGGAATAAAAATAAAAAGCATTTTGAAGCAAATTTAATTAATATTTATTGCGATAAATATCATTATTTTGTTCCTACAAATTTAAACGTGTTGTTTTTTTTAGTGTATCTCTACGAATCAATGTAAGGGTTATTTATATAGTAATTTTATAAAAAGCATATCTCAAAAAGTAAATGAGATATCAAGTTGAAATAAACACCATTTTATCACAAATTTAATGTAGTTTCAACCTACAAAAAATAATTTCTTCGTTCCCATAATTGTGGGTGATACGATTTTTTTAATTTAACCATGCGGGTGTTGAGGTTAAATTGATAAAAATTTTATTTGTGGTATCGTATCTCAAAAACGAATTGAGATATTAATATGAAATAAAAAGCATTTTGAAGCGAATTTAGTCAATATTTATTGTGATGAATATCATTATTTTGTTTTTACAAATTTAGGCGTGATCATTTTTTTTAGTGCATCTCTACGAGTCAATGTAAGGGTTATTTATATAGTAATTTTAATAAAAAAGCATATTTCAAAAAGTAAATGAGATATCAAGTTGAAATAAACACCATTTTATTACAAATTTAATGCAGTTTCAACGTACAAAAAATAATTTCTTCGTTCCCATAATTGTGGGTGATACGATTCTTTTATTTTAACCATGTCGGTGCTGAGGTTAAATTGATAAAAATTTTATTTGTGGTATCGTATCTCAAAAACGAATTGAGATATTAATATGAAATAAAAAGCGTTTCGAAGCAAATTTAGTCAATATTTATTGTGATGAATATCATTATTTTGTTTTTACAAATTTAGACGTGATCATTTTTTTTAGTGCGTCTCTACGAATCAATGTAAGGGTTATTTATATAGTAATTTTAATAAAAGCATATCTCAAAAAGTAAATGAGATATCAAGTTGAAATAAACACCATTTTANATTTAACCGTAATCAATAATTGATTAAACCGTTTCCACGATTCGCAAAAAGAACTATATTAGGAAATCAATAATTGAAGATAATTGAATGACATTGTGCTCTACATAGTTGTGGCGATCAAATCACTCAAGTTACTCCCCTGATCGTCTAAAACATTATGTAATACGTATACATACATATTCGTACAGGGTCCCACGTAAGCAGCGAAGTACATAAATGCATTAAAGAGCTGAGATAAGCAGTTCTTCCTTAGACAAAAGTTGTAGCAAATTTACCACACTATAAACGGAAAATATTTTTATACATACAAAGTGTTCCATAACGACGTACCGAAATAAATCAGTTATTTTAATAGGAATGATATAGTTTTTATTGCGTGTTCTGATTCTACACACAAAAATATGTTGACTTTGATAAGATATGTTGATACCTAATAGTTTTAGTTTTTGAGTTATTTTAATTAGAAACTTATTCTAGCAATTAACACTGTGTCCTTTAAATTTGAATTTATATAACATAAATTTTATGTATGAAATCATATCTCAAGAGCGAGTTGAGATAGTAAAATGGAATAAAAATAAAAAGCATTTTGAAGCAAATTTAATTAATATTTATTGCGATAAATATCATTATTTTGTTCCTACAAATTTAAACGTGTTGTTTTTTTTAGTGTATCTCTACGAGTCAATGTAAGGGTTATTTATATAGTAATTTTATAAAAAGCATATCTCAAAAAGTAAATGAGATATCAAGTTGAAATAAACACCATTTTATCACAAATTTAATGTAGTTTCAACGTATAGAAAATAATTTCTTCGTTCCCATAATTTTGGGTGGTACGATTTTTTTAATTTAACCATGCGGGCGTTGAAGTTAAATTGATAAAAATTTTATTTATACATATCTCAAGAACGAGTTGAGATATTAATATGAAGTAAAAAGCATTTTAAAGGAAATTTAACCAACATTTCTAATCTTAACTAAGCTTCTTATCTCGCAACTTTTAGGATCCAGTTGTAAAATACATAAACCTTCTTGTACTCCTTCAAAATAAGTTTTAATTCTATTATTTTCGAATCATCTAACGCACAACTTACATCTGCCGCTGCTGTGTGTGATAGGTTCCCAAACAAGGGCAATTCCACCGCGAGCGGTTTTTGGCTGATACACAACATAATCACCACATCTT